CAAATAATAAACAAAGCTACATGCATTCTAATCGCATCTGCAGTAATTTGAAGATTATTAAAGGACATTTTTGCCTGAACCGAGAACAAAATGCCTGAGCTATTTTAAGATAATAGTCGTATTTTACAAATGCAATTTCCGGTCTGGGCCACACATGAAATGGGGCACGTACATTTAATTAAGATTGACCATAGTTTCAAGCACATACACATCGCAGATCGAGTTGATAACTAACTTGCAGTTCAAGTTTCGTATTTGTATGCAATAGAGTAGTATCTAGAAGTAAATTTTGAGTCTGTCTCATATGTGAAAAGATGAAATTAAATTTCCACAATTGAATAGTCTGTATTTCTGTAGTCTAAGTGGTCGACATAAAAAAGCTTTAATGGAGTGAAATTTAAAGTGATTAGGCCCAATTTGCAGCATTTAGCGAGCAAATGGAAGCGTGAAATTGCAACATTAAGATAAGCAAAAAAAATGTCAACGGGCGGAAAAACAGCTCTTAGATGCCTGACGTCTAATTTCACGGCGGCCGTTAAATGAGAGAAATGGCAGCTTTTCGTCTAATAAAAGAAAAATAAATGTGTCGGCACCGTTAAATTTATTTCAAAAGTCCGAAGAGAATTATCGCATCTTAAAACGGCTCCAGTTTTTAAGTAATATATATTTTTTCCTGTTTTCATAAGTCGCATTTAGCCGTCTGGGGACAGTAAGAGCGAGTCGTTTGTCATCTTTTTTATAATGTCGTTCAAAAATTGTTTTCCCATCAATTCGGAAGGCTGACGACATGTTTATGGGCTTTGTTTATTTTTATCGAGAATTTGAGAGCTAACTGGCACAGTACTTAACATGACAGCTTGAATGGCTCTTTTCAAATTTAAATATAGGGATTTCTTGCGTTGCTTTGTTTGTTATTGAGGTCAATATTCACAGCAAACAAACACAACATGGTAAAAAAAATATTTTTATAACAATTGTAATTTTGTGCATTTTTTTAAAGAATCGTTCTACTTTAAACACTGTTGGGATTCTACATGAAAACTTTTTGTCTCAAATTTTATGGTTCGTACGATTCTAAACCAGATGGGACCATATGCTAATTAATAAGAACATCAGAAAGTGTATTAGAGCAGTAAAAACATAATCAGAAGGAAAAGTTACTTCTGACCAAAACCATTTTTTTTCTAGATATGGGTTTCAATTAGAAACCTAAAATATTTAGCAGATTTTTAATAACGCCACTTTAATTATAAATTAAATGTTTTATAATTTGCAAACAGATGATCTAATTAATGTAGGAACTAATCAAACGAGATCGGCCAAAAGCGAAACAAAAACAACAACCCAAGCAGAATGAATCGGAAGAAACAAAAGACCAATAGACACAAAAAAAATGAAGGAACCATGATGCCATCATGTCTGATACAGGTATGACAGAATACAGAATACAGAACACAAATAAAATACTAGCAGCAAAAAAAGCGTGGCAGGTTGAAAACTGTAAAGGAAATGAAGAGCTAGAACAATGTTCTAATTTTTTTCCAAAGCAAATTCTCTGTAATTAATAACTTCAATTAACGACAATTCAAAATTTTGAATTTTGAATTGAATCTTCGCTTTTAATGTATTTGATCAAGAAGAAACTATTTTTATTAATTCGTGATGTAATCCCCCAAAGAAAAAATCAACTTAAAATTCACACGACAGATATTTTTTGCATTCTTGAGTTTTACTGCAAAAATTTGTTTGGTGTCATTTAAATTAAATATTCTGTTAACTCTCCTTTTTATTATAGATTCGTAATAACATGTTGAGTTTGCTTTTGTTAATATTGTCCGTTTTATGCAAAACCTTAATATTTATGTTGTACAAATGTTTTGAAATTCAAGTATGTTCAGAAGCAATTTATTTTTCTATGAGTTTTACCTTGCAACACTGATAAACCGGTTTTGTCTTTTCAAAAAACGCTGTTCAACCTGGTTTCCGTTAATAATTTTTTTTTAATTAATTTTAAATTGAAATTAGTTTTAAAATACTAACGTATGATTAATTTTGTAGTCCAGCACTGATATGTAAACAAGTCTTATGTAAACAAGGTTGTTGTCCCCATAAAAAAATCTGTTAATTTACCAAAAGATGGGTAGGTAGTGCGGGTATAAAATTGCAGGCTTTTCACCGAAACTCCAGTCGTCTGCCATAAATTACTTTTATCATTGGGACGGGTCCTAAAATTGTTTATTTAGTCGCGATTTAAATTCAGAAAGGGTTTCACGAAAGATTTGGTTGTGACATTTTTATTTGGCTGGCTACCATTCCCGTTGCATTTAGGCATTCGTAAAAAAGCTATTACTTAAATATGCTTGCACTCGGTAAAATACTTAATTGATGTTGATTAACACGGCACTGCTGTTTTTTCAGGATGTCACATTTAGTAATCATATGACAGAGGATTTGCTTGACCTGGATTTTTCCTTAGTTTCGAAAATAACATTTTCAGTTTTGCAGTATGCATGCTTCCATAAACACTCAATATTATTGTGCTCATTCGAATTTTGAACGTGTAATATTCCAGTAAATGAGGGTATAACATTGTGTTAATTTAGGCGTTACTTCAAGTGTATTGTTTCATTTCCTCAATATTCCTAATAATTTTCTTTATTTCATAAACACTGGGTGTTTCTTAACATCATAAACGAATGGAACGTTTATTTGCCTATTATACGACCATGGATATACCTAAGATTATAGAGACTTTAATATTTTGCAGTTTTGTATCTTATGCAGTTTTGAGAGATTATGCTGCATGATCTACATTATAGAGCGTACCAAATCGCCAATAGAATCTAAACGATGAACATTTCTAAATAAACTTTTCCTTTCACCCAATTTTTTTTATATACTCGCCGCTGGTTGATTTGAATCTGCAAACCTTTATTAAAACAATGATAATATACAAATAAAACCGAATTATAGACTTATTTATAGTAGTCGTTTCAAACACGATTTCCTCGGGTCCCTTAATTTAAAAATGTTTAAATTGCGTACTTGAAGCAAACTATTAACCCTTTGTCTCGATAATAGATGCAGGTATAAACTAGACAAACAATACAGAATTCGAATTTGATCCAAATTTTAAATGCAATTTTATATGCCAAATTTAAATACAAAATAAGCTAAGTTTTCCTCTCCGTATATAAATGATATCTATATATATAAAATTCTCGTGTCACAGTTTTAGTTACCATACTCCTCCGAAACGGCTTGACCAATTTTGATGAAATTTTGTATGTATATTCAGTAGGTCTGAGAATAGGTTGTTATCTATTTTTTATACCCCTAAGTGATATGGGTGCTGCCATAAACCCCTATCTTTCAATAGCTATATTAATAATTCAATAAATTTAAAATAAAAYAAAAACAAAATCTCAAGTGGGCAAACCGCCCACTCGAGATGAAAAAAAAAACACTAGGAATAATTTATATGGCAATACAACGTTTGCCGGGTCAGCTAGTATATATATATAATCTAATAATATCTTTTACGTATTACAGATGCAATTATATTGCATAAAGCCGCTCAACAGTTCTCACATATGTACAAAATTTCTTCTGAAGTCGACTAAAAGCATTTGAAACAGCATCAGCTTTTACAAATTATCTTGCTATGAGTCTAATGAGTACGCAACTCCGCTAAACGACACTCCTTTCATCTTTATAAAATGCATTTTATCAGTCGTTTTCAAATCGAAGAAGTAATTTTCGACTAAATTGCGTTAATTCTACAATCTAAGAATTAATTCAAACGATTTATAATATGACTTGAAGTAATGAGTATTGAACTTAGAAAAACTCAGTTAAAACAGCAGCAGATGAAGAAAAATTTGTTGAAATTTCCTCACATCAAGTTAGCTACTATAAAAAAAAGTGCGAATAAATGAACGAAGCAACAAAAGCTTGAAAATTAAATGAAAATGAAAATTAGCTTCCTAAATATAGAAACTAAGACAACTAATTCTTTCAAAATTTCCAATTAAGTACGCAGTATTTTGGCACATATGCGTACAAAAGTTGCAATAAATTTCCGGGACTGCCACCCTAAACGGTTTTAATTTCCTCGAATGTTTGCGAACTAGAATTTTAAAATTAATTAAAATTAATGGCAGCATGTGTTAAATAAAGCGTAGTAAATGGATTTATTTGTGATGCTATTTGTAAGCCGTTGGGTCTACGACGTGTAAGTGATTAATCTTCGTAGTATTAGAGAAATTGAGACAACAACGATGAGTGGAAAGAAACAACTTGCGAACGTTTTCGAAGCTATTTTGATCCTCATTTGACGTCCCAAACAAATGCGTTTAATAAAAAAACCGCAATCTGAACCTTTTATAGTCTCTGTTGAGATATTCTTTGTCAGCCAAGAGATTTTATTTATATTTTTACAAAAAATGTTGTGATTGGAAGAAAGATTTTGGCAGCTATTTATTATTTATATATTTGTATATAAGGTTTCTTTCTTATGTAATTTTAAAATGGCGGGTTTGGGTATAATAATGTAACATTCAGCAAATATTTACATTCTATTGGAGAGGCAATAAATAGAATGAAACATATTTCAGCTGTGCCTAAACTACCTCACTCGGTTAGTTGGTTTTTCTAATAAATTTAAAGCAGATAATATTCCAATACAAAATATCTGATTTAAAAAAATTAACATATTTGGCACATTTTTTCCTTAAATAAATGCGATGAAAATACAGTTCTTTAGTGCGATGCTCGTACTATTTCCCGTTAATATACGTTGTTAAAAATCCGAACGAAAACGAAGTTCAAAACGCAAAAACTAGACAGAATGCATATGTTAAAAAACTGCATATAAAACTATTGCGGCTTAATTTCTCTAGAATGAACTTTATGAGCAAAGTCAGTAGTGAATACTTTTTGCAAGTGAAATGTTACAGAAATAGTCAATTATCGAGTGAAAAAAATTAATTTGTACTTACCATGAGTGCTCATACAGCAGCAGGTCGCAAAGTACCTCAGCCGATCCTAAAACAAAAAACAAAGAATTACAGAAAGCACAATAAGAAGTTTTAATTCATAATCAACAAATGTTGAACTAATAAACAAGTTACATAAATATGTTAAATAAATAGCAGATGACTGCTAATAATTTAGAACTTGTTCTTCCACTTTGTCCAAGTTGGAAAGAGAATTACCGAGAAAGTTAAAATAAAGAGACTTTTGAAATAATGAAGAACAACTTTCAATTAAGAGAGTCAGAATCGATCCATAAAGTCAAATACTAGACCCCCGACTTGCAGCCGTAAGTAAAATTAACTTTAGAAACTGCTAAAAATTCATAACAAAATATCCGCATAACAAAATCGGATTCTTCTTTTAAACAGAATGTCCCAAATCGCGCAACGAGTTTCAGGTTAGGAAAAGTGTAAAGTTTTTCTAAGCGCAAATACGCAAGTACCATTATTTCAAGTTCAGCCAAGAAGAAGACACACGAAGGTACCAAGGTACAATCATCTTGTACCTTGGTACCTTCGCGTGTCTTCTCAACCAATAAAGTTCATAAACGCATAAGTTCCTTAGCTCGCTTGTAACAAAATGTAACCAGTTACACAATCCCAACCCCCTTTTTCATTGTTTGCACTTAATTTAATATCCACGGTATTCACTGTAGTACGTTTAAACTGCAAGTATTTTCGTTCTTTTCAAAAGTAACGCGAAGACAGAAAAAGTAATTTAGTAAATTCATTGCATTCAGACGTTTCTTTCCGTTTCATGGCCCATTAAGATCTTATCCCTAACAATTTTATAACGCAATAACACTTAAGTGGCCCGTAAGTTTTAGAAAACCTTTTCTAATAAAACGGAATCTGTGTTGTCTTCTGGCAATACGTGATCTTTGTTTAAAAAGCTAGAATTACATTTAATAACTGTTCCAGTTGGGATTTTACAATCAAAAATAAAAAATATTTAGTTAGTATATACCAAAATTTGTAACGAATTTATTATTAAAATATACCCGCCAGAAGTTTCGGTCGAAAATGGCGTATTTTGCCTGCAGAACCAGGCATAATAATATCGACGTTTTATGTTGATGGGATTTATTTTAGGGGCTGAAATCAAAGTCGGATTTGCAGGGGAATTATTTCCTTTCTATCTATCCAACTGTTTGCGCTGATATCAATGGAAGCAAAGGGAAATTTTAAAGCGATTCTTTGATTTGTCTAAATAGTTTCAATTAAAGATGGTTTTACAGCAGCTGAACCAAAAGAAAAAAAATCATAACATTTCCTAATCAACGTCCAAGTGCCAATTTGCATAATTTTTAATTTCCATTTTTTACCTTTGTGGACATGTTGAGGTAGACTGTATAATCCGTATAAAATCTTTCAGTTAGACAACTAAGAACTTAGTCGAATGAAAAAGCCATAACATACATTTATCTTCAACCGAAACTGAGCGATTGTAACTCATAAGATTAATGTATTGAAGGAGTTGAAGGTCTAATCTCAGCGCATTAATCTTACCGATCAGTTTCTCCTATTTTTCTTCATTATTCTACGAAATAAAAATGTCAAATCGGACATATCTAAAATCGAGCACGAAAGGAAGTAAGTTAAACCATAAATGTGGGTGGGATGGTTTCAATGTCCGTACCATATGATGATCCCACAGATAATCAAGTGAGACGATTTGTATTGCGTCTTATAATTTTACTTTTTTATTTCATTTTTTCTTATAATTTTACTAAAAAGCTACTAAAATTTAAAAAAAATAATTTCGTAGGACAATTGATTTAAACGTTAATAAATATGGGGGATTTAAAGTTAATATCTGGAAGAAAATAAATCTTTAGTCTAAAAAATATTAGTGAAAATTCGGATAGCAATTAGAAAATTAAACCTTTTAATACAAGAACAGGAATGTCCGCTTCACGTGATAGAAACATTGCATTAAAAAAATAATCATAAAGAGCAATGAATATTCCTTGGATTGGATTGTAATAGAGCAAACTTTTTAGATAAGTTTACAAAAGTTTAAAATCTAATCCTCCAAATAATTATCTGCAGTTCACTATCTAAATAAAATAAAAAGTTGCAATATAGTTAATATTAAATTTTAATTATTATTATTATTATAGCACATTAAGTACGATTTGATTTATCTAAAAGTAGCTGAATTCCACATAGAACAAATCAGGAAACAGAAATTAAAAGAAACTAAACATTAACAGATTTGTAAACTCTTGCATTTTTTAAAAATGTTTATGGGTAACTGGCACGAAACGAAGCAATCAATGCATTCTAATGTCCTAAGTAATCGATTCCGATTCCCCCATTTACACATGAGCTTAAAATTACGCAATATTAGCGTGTGATTTTCATCGATAAGGATGCGGATGAGCAAAATGTCCATATAGGGGGGAATATGAAAATTCCGTACAAGAATATAGAGCCAGTTTTCCTTCTTCGTTACCTCGCAGCGCCAACACAATGAGACGACAACTTTGAAGTTTATGGATGTTGCTTGCTTTATAACCTGATTCGATATGGAGTAGGTAATATTTTCTGAATTGAGTTGTTTACATGACTTTCCAACCGCAGATGTAAAAAACACATCAAAATTGACTTAGAAATCGCTTAAAATACGGATTATGGTTCGAAAGGCGGATTTGAATGAGCTATAATAAGAGGGTGCAATTTTACTTTTTAGATAATAAATAATATTTTACGCACGGTTTAACTGTGCATTTATTTGTATTATCAGTATAAGGTAAAACATTAAACCTTGTAAAGAGTAGCAAAATAAGGAGCTTCAGGTTGGAACAGCAAATTATAGTTCACAAAAGGCCCGCAAATTTTATAATTAGTAAGTTAATGTACCAACTAGTAACTAACTTTTAAGAGCGAAAATTTACCCCGAAAAATAGATATGTGCACATACTTATGTGAATAGAAATTTATTTATCAGAAAGGGTGCAAAATATCTTTAAAATAGTAATATAATAATGCAAATAAACAGAGAAGAATTGTTAATGTCACATTCAAAATACAGTTACCTCCAACAGTTCCAAGTTTGTTTTAGGGAAACACGATTACAAGCTTTAAATGGAATATTTGAGCAAGGGTGTGTTAATTATGTATAGTAGACAACTAAAAATGTTCTCACAAATTTACACACTGCAGAATCGAGAGAAAATGTTTCTGAAAAATGTGTTTTTTGTTTAAATCCTAGACGTTGTTTTTTTCAATTCACATTGTGAGTCAATAAAGCAATTTTATGGCAGAATCGAGAGAAAATTTTCATTTAAAATAGATTTGTTAAATGCTGCAGTGCTAAAGACTGGACCTCAACTTTTTAATTGAAAATTGTAAAATTAAGCAACTTTTCCTCTTTACAACGTTTTCACGTGCGTTTTAAATCAAGAATTTGTGAATTTTAACGAGAATCGAGAGACAAATTTCATAAAAATCAAATTTGTTGTTCTAAACACTAAACGTTACTTTTTGAATTTAGAAGGAGGTTGTTTTTTTTAAGTTTTTCAAATTTTCTATTTTGTGAAGCAGAATAATTGAAAAATCGACTGATTTTTGAAAGAAAAAATCCCAAAAAATTATTTTGTTTATTGCAAACAACAAATATATAGTTTTTGATGCGTAAATAGGGCTGACTCAGCTAGCCAACATATTCCATTATTTATAGCCTTAAACCTTCCGCAATTGGCCATCGTTCCCATGAAATTCCTATTGACATAAAACCGAACGTTGAATGGATCTCTGATGAAAAGCACAAACTGTACAATTCAGATTGAATAAAAACGAAATTGACCTTATTAAATTGGTCTCTAGTTTACCAAAAAAATATGAACTGTTCCAACAGAACTTTATTTACAGAATTCGCATTCAAGTAAAAAAGTTTAAAAATATATTAATTGTGCTGAGGCCTAAAAACCATTTTTCATAACAATGATAATAATGATGTATTTATTAACATAATAAAGCATGATAATAAATAAGCTCTAAAATCCCGTGCAAAAATATCTGCACCGTCTATATGTACTTCTATATTCTATAGTTCTTGATACTGATTAAAATCGTGCTTACCTCTAGAAAGCTATGGTTATCCGCCCTCGAGATAATAATTTTCTTCACATGTAAGTAGTACTAAACCCGTCGACTTTGCGGTAAAGCAAGAGCCACCAATGTAAAGTTTATAAGTTAAATGAAACCGTTAAAATTGTATTTTGCACATCCGCACTTCACCTAGCTTCGACTAAGCCGTACAGGCTATAACGAATTTTTTAATAAATTCTAAACAATCGAAATTGTAAACAATTAATCTAAGAATGCCGTTTTGTTTATCTCACTTGGAACGATATTCCTCGGCAAATAACACAAAATACGTTTCAACAATGTTCATGTTTTGGTAATGATAGTCTAATCTCCATATCATAATTTTTTTTATTTTACCAATGAAATATAGAAGAATAGAAATGTATTAATGGAAATATTGGTATTTATTTATTTCTCTCAATTTACTATTGTCTTCTAGAGAAAGGAATCTTGGATATGAAAAATACAAGTGAAACTTAATAGAATTTTGTCTATCAATCAGATAATAAAAGCGTATCAAAAAAAGGAGTTGAAGATTTGTTCGCCACAAACCAAATTGACCAAAAAATAACTGGAGCTAAATCAAGCGCAAGAGATAAAACAGCAATGCGCTGAGATATAGAGACAAAAAAATCATCAAATGTCCTTAATTATTTTTAAAAATTTTTGGAGTTTCATTCTATTTTTTACGCTTATTTTTGCTTTACCAAATAGACTTTGATTAACAAAACCCGCCACAGACACTACAGGTTGATCAACTATTTATAATCGTTTTCGAAATTTAAATTTTTAAGATATTAATGGTATCTTAGAAGTAAAAAACCAAAAGAAATCACAAAATTATTGTTGCCCAAGATAGTAAGTAAGATTTTAAAGTATTTGGAAATAAAGCTGTTTTCAATGTTATTAGGTTAA